GAGCCAGAGGCTGAGGCGGAAGCCGAGCTCTGAGCCACAGGCAGGGACAGGAATCCCGGCAGCTTCCCTTTGTGTTTCCCAGCAACCTCTGGCTGGGGGCTCAGGTCTCAGCATTGGGAGTCTGAGACATTTTCACAGCCCTGCCCAGGGTGGTCTGGTTAGAAATGGGGGCGCGGTCGCACCCTGCGGTCTTCTCAAACTCAGCAGGTTCATCCCACCCTGTCTTCTCCCTGCCCCTCCCTCCTAGCAGCTCCCTGCACCCCCTACCTGAGCGGGCTCCATCCCGGCCATTGCCCGGCCCCGGCCCCTGGCAGACGGGTGCTCTGCAGCGAACTCTCGACGTGTCTCCTCAGCCTGTTGGGAGAGAAAGGGGTGATGGGGGAGGTGTCAGAAGGGGCTTAAGTCCCTGTCCCCCCCCCCGAAGGCTCTGCCCCTGCAGACACGCGCTGGGACTCTCTGGCTCTGCCCTGCTAGGAAGGAACCCAGTTAACTACATAAGGGGACTAGGAAGGGAAGCCAGCAGAGCCAAGTCCAGCCTAAGCCTCAGCCCCCACACGGGGGATGGGAGCCAGAAAAGCCACCCCAAACTCCACCCCCTGGGCGTGCTGGCAACACGGATCAGAACATTTGCTGAAATCGAGAACATCCTTGAAATGTGTTGCCACAATCAACGGAGGCAAAGAAAAGGCCGTGAATTTAAGATTAGGGAGGTGAGATGACTAGTTGCTCCCCCGCTTTGCTGCCTCTATCAGACAGAGGCAGCAAGGCGTGGGGGGAAGCGGTATGGGTGCTTCAAAGCGGCAGTGCCGCATGGAGCCTAGGGCCAGACCCTAAGCTCCTTGTGGCACTGCCGCTTTGAAATGCAGCACCCTTTGCTCCCTGCAGCGCTTTTGCCTTAAGTGTAGCAACAACCCCGGGGCTGCTGCTCTTCTTTAAAGGCAGAGGCGCCCTTGTCGACTAATCGAATACCTAACGAAAAGTGCATCGACTATTCGATTAGCCAGTTAATCGAAATTGTACACCCCTACTTAAGATAGGCAATTAGCGGTGTAAAGACTGCGGTAGAAATACCTACAGCAAGGCGTGCCATAATGAAGCCATAGAAAAGCCAAGTGGGCACTTCAGTGCATGCAGAATAGGGATTTACTTACAGAATCAAGATTTTCAAATGAATTTTGAATTGCAAGTGATGGAGGGGGACCACATGTTCTTAGAAGTGCCCAACGGCAGCAAATGTTCCAGGATCGTACAACTATTCTAGATGGATGGCTCCGTCGGGCAGGGTGGCAGTAAAAGCAAGAAGGCTCAGACACAGAAAGGTAATAAAATAAACTAACTGACTTTGTTCCTATTTGGGGGCACAGCTTCTGGGACTGAAATTCTTGCGGCTGCCAAGGTACCTAGGGGTGGCATATCGCTATTCAATAGAAACAGATCATTGAAACATCCTTTTGAAAATCATGTTATGCCGGACACGACAAGGCATTTAGGGCATAGGGACATACCCAGGTGCTTCCAACCTTGAAACTTCAGGCCATGAGTGAGTATTTGGGAACCAAGTTCTGGGCATAAATGGGCATGAGAAAGAGTACCAGGGTGCCAAATAGAGAGACAAAATAACAACACACTAAGGCGGGATGGACAATCATTTCTGATGCGGGAGGCCACTCCAAGGTTTCGGTAAGTGTGGCTCCTACCTGGCCCCAAACTGCTGCAGTGAAAGTGCAATGGAGGAAGTGCCCTCTCCCTAGGGCAGCATGGTACCCCAAAACTCTCATCCCTGAAAGGGTGTCATGGGGGGGGGGGAGAATTGTTTTCCTTGGCCTCTGAGGATAGGACAAGAAGCAATGGGCTTAAACAGCAGCAAGGGAGGTTTAGGTTGGACAATAGGAAAAACTTCCTGACTGTTAGGGTGGTCAAACACAGGAATAAATTGCCTAGGGGGGTTGTGGAATCTCCATCCCTGGAGATATTTAAGAGCAGGTTGAACAGACATCTACCAGGAATGGTCTAACTCAGTGTTCCTCAATCTTTTGTTATAAAGTACCCCCTTTAAAAAAATTATAAGTACCCCCACTAGCTACAGTTTTCAGACACACAATTTTTTTCTACCATTGCAACACATTCGTTTAAACAGCTTAATCACAGCTGGGCAAGTGATGAAATTTTTGGGTGTAAAAAGTACAAAAATAAGAAAGCGCTGTAAAACTTCAAACAAAAGTTCCGTTTTCTCCAAATTTCAGTTGTGTTGATGCACTCCCCGGACTTCTCTCAAGTACCCCAAAGGGTACTCATACCACTGGTTGAGAAACACTGGTCTAGATAGTGCTTGGTCCTGCCATGAGGGCAGGGGACTGGACTTGATGACCTCTCGAGGTCCCTTCTAGTTCGAGTGTGCTATGATTTCTTTGATCCCCAGCCCCATCCCACAGCCTGCACCCCAAAAACGGAGCACTCACCTCTGTGCAAGCTTTGAGTCCTCTTCCACACCTTGGTCCCATCCCCACCACACACCCTTCGTATGTG